TGTATGCTTTTCGCTGATGATATCCTTCTTGAGGATAAGACTAGAGAAATAGTTCAAAAAAAACATGAACTACAGAGGTCAACATTGGAGCCTAAAGGTCATCATTTGAGTAGATTTAAATCTGAATACATGGACTGTAATTTTAGTAGTAGTAGCTTTGGTGGTAGAGTTATAACTATGAGTGATCAAATCATTAAAAAAATGTGAACGTTTTAGATATCTCGGGTTTATTGTTCAAATTAATGGTGATATAGATGGAGATGTTATTAATAGAATTCAAGATGGTTGGTTGAAGTGGAGGAATGCATCGGACCTATTGTGTGATAGAAAAGTTCCGCTTAGACTGAAAGAAAAATTTTATATGCTATTAATAGAATTCAAATTGGTTAGCGGTGAGGCCAAAAATGCTCTACGACGCAAAATGTTGGCCTTTAAAAGAGAAGCATAAAACAAAATTAAGTGTTGCTGAGATGAGAATGCTTATGTGGATGAGTTGATTGACACCTAGAGACAAAAGGCGAAATGAATATATCCGTGATAAGGTTGGTGTAGCTCCAGTGACAGATAAGATTATAGAGATTCGTCTTAGATGATTTGGTCACATTAAACATCGACCATCTGATGATCCGATTACGAGAGTAGATTTTTTAAATTCGACTTACGTTAAGAAAAGGAAGAGGTCGACCTAAAAATACTTGAACATATTGTATAAAAAAAAGATCTTAATCTATTAGAATTAAATGAAAATATTACACTCAATAGGACACAATAGAGAAAGAAAATTAATGTATTCTCTAATATTTAATCTATGCAATTAATATTATATATTATTTTCAATTTTTTTTTGTTTTATTACTTATATATAAAAAAAAATACAAGAAATAATGATATTTAAAATATTTATTAATTAAAATAATTTGCTTTTACTTTATAAACGTTCAAAGTAAATATTGCGTTATTGCTGTGATTTGCTATTTAATTTACATTATTTTACTTAATAGATTAATATTTTATATTCCAAGCAAAATTATTATATATGAAAGATGTATATCATGCACATCGGGCAACTTGAAGACCATTTCCCAAATAAAATAGTGAAGAAACAATGGAAGAAGTTCAAATGTGAAAGATTTGGGTGGTATAAATGTAAAAAGTAAAGTTTAGATGTTAGATATGTAAATCCATAGGAATTGGGTGATATGTATGGAAATGCTCCTTCTTTATTATATATTCATTGTATATTAAACTTTGTTAGATATGTAAATCCATAGGAATTGGGTGATATTGTATTCATTATATAAGTTTTTTGTGGGCAAAGCACTACTCTAGAATGTCTCATGGGCTATACAATCTGGCATATGACGGGTTGCCGGGCTCGCCTCACCGAAGAACCTCAAAATTGGTAGAATGAAAAGACCGGCATCAGAAAATTGACATCTTTCACATCCTCATTTATGAGCCGCTTGACATTCACATCGCAGTCTTTTCATCGAGATACCATAGACAGATTTTCTACACCATGAGTTATATTTTAATGGTTTTTTTGACATGTACAAATTATCGGAGAGAGATCCAAGAGAAGTGAAAAGTCTTTTCAGACATTTTTTTGGGGGGATCTTATGTTGTGGCTCTCTCCGAATCTCTTTTATTCTTTCTTTAATTATGTCTTATTCATTAAATGAGGAAATACACAATTCAGGCCTAGAGAACCCATTAATTTTCTTCTTTAACCACCTTACACAACTTTCTCCTAGGTTGTGTTAACACACGAAATATACGAGGCCCAACATCGTAAAAGTTTCATCATCTTAAATGGTGCAAGGATCGTGGAGTTCATATACAAACTCAACAAGAAAATTTCAAGAAGGAAAAATACTAAAGAAATATAATGGATTGTACCAGAGAATTTGTGACACAACAAATCAATGAGCTAAGAGAATAAATGGTGAAAGCAATACATTTAATGAAACAAGAAACCTCTAAATCTAGTTATTCACGTCCCTCTCTTTGTTCTAGCCGAAACAAGATTCTTAGTGTTCGTCCTCTTCAAATTTCCCTTTCTAGGTCACTTTACTTTAGGAAGCAATGAAAGAAAAAATAGGTTGGAGGTGAACAAAAAGTATGAAGAAACGAAAAAGAGTAGCTACAAAAATATTTATATAAAAAAATCTTCGTAACATAATCTAGAGATACCATACTTGATCCAAGAGAAGATACAGGAAAGTTCCTATACAAATACATTTATAACCAAACCATAATACAAAATCAAATTTATTTTGGTTTAGGTTCACAAATACCTTTACATCTAGGTAAAAACATAGGAAAAAAGCACCATAGAAAGTATTGTGCTTGCACAAAATAGTCTTGGAATATAAACAACCATTGAGATTTTTAGTGGTCCCGGTAGGGGAAATGCTCTAGTCATCAGGGCAGAACTTGGCCATCAGCCAGAGGGTGAAACAACACAATCTGGCTAGTAGACTCCGTTGAACTAAACGAACCTACGGTATGCTTCTACAAAAGAATCGACAAAGGAAACTATTGTGTCTAAAGGGATAGATAAACATGTAAGTCGAAAAATAACCTAAATAGGTAGAGATAACTTGGTGGAGGCTTCATGGACCCGTCCTTTCAGAAGTTTAGGTCCAAATCTTTTAAATTGTGAAGTTAGTTGACCCAACCAAGTTGAGGATCACTTTTGCAACAATCCATGTGTTGCATTGTCCAAAGCTATCTGTTAGATCCTAAGTCAAAGGAAAGAAATGTCTAAGCTTTTAAGATTATAACTAGACCAAAAGGGGATTAAGGATTATACCTGCCAAAGGTATGAACAGGAAACCTATGCAGAAAAAAGGAGAAATAGATAACTCAGCTGCAAAGCTGGCCTACCCCCACAAAGGACTTACAATCTTGTTTGGATCATGAGAGACTCAACACTCTATACTGCACCAGACAACCAACTAACTGTATAATATGTATGCCATGTCGATAAGATTGGACAGCAAGAATATTTTTCTCGAGTGATTTAGCATGTATGCAGTGATCTACGACATCCTAATCATGGAGGCCCTTTTAGTATGCAGGGGGGATATATTCATGCATTTTATGATCATTTTAAAATTAACCTAAATGACATGCAAAAAAGTAAAGATAGAACATAAAACAACATATTTTAAAATATTGAACATTTTAGTCCTAAATTTTATTAAAATAAATCTTTTAAGATTAGCTTTTATAATAAAAATTTTATCCTAAAGAGCCCGATCATTATCATATCTTGACAAACCACAAGCATAAG